CAGTAAATGCTAGAACAGTTATTAATAACGACGTGGCACAAGCACGTACTTGTCATTCTCATTGAGGTCAACTTCGATCCTTTCACCATGTGCATCAACCTGCTGATTATTTTTGTTCAGCTGTCGACGCTTCGCAATTAAATTCTTCTTCTGCTTTCGCATGCGCAACAAATCAGTTTCAATAGCCTACATAGATTATTCGTTAGTAAACAACAAAGAAGCAGTAATACTGAAGAGTATCTTTTGGACCCGTCTTGTGCCGCAAGGTTCATTTAAAATTTGAAATATCAAGTGCCAAAATTGAAATACCTGTTGATACTTTTTAAGTTCATTGCTACGCCGCTGCAGCATATTATAGTTATCGAAGACCTCCTTACTTAAGTGCACAACGGAAGGTTGCAGATTTTGAGGAGCTGCGCTACAAGGCGCCAAAGGAGGACCTGCGTTTGCGTCTCCCTCCTAAACTATTAGATTTGTGTATCTATTTGACATACCGCTTCTCTTTGAAACTATAAAAGCTTTTTAACATAACAAGCAGTCGATAATATAAATGTAGCGCAATAAATGCACACAAAACAAGAGACAGGAAAGTCGTACCTGTCCTGAATAATAATACCCAGTAGGACGCGATGATGAAGGACCAGTATCGCCATTAGATCCAGAACGCACTGCGTTTGACGGAACTTTCTTCTTCGGCTATAATAAATTTTACAAACGTAGAAATTATACCAAATTTTCGAAAAAAAAGATAATTATTTCCTGAACATGAAAAGGAAACAGAGAACTTACTCTGGCGCGATTCGCTCTATTCTCCCGGGCTTTGTTGACATACTCTTGCCTGATGTTTGCATCCAATAATCTCCAAATTCTATGTATGTGTTTGACCCGATCATTCCAAAGTGGATGATCTTGCTTTAACTCAGGATGATTAATATTCGCATATAAAACAGCAGCCTTCGTAGCACGATCACCAAGAGGCTCATCCTCCTCCCACCGTTCTGTAGCCTGATTTACACGTTCAACACAGTCATCCATCTACAATAATGAGATGTATTATTAACTCTGGAAATGATTTTGAAAACTGATGATATGAAAAATTAAATTCTAGCAGTAACAAGTTTCCGACCCAATTAGATACTAACGATTAAAAATTCTCTTCTAGAGCGAACGGGAAAAAAAACAGGTAATACTTACTTGACTATTCGAACGTGAACCTGACTGACTAATATTAGTGTTCATTGGATATGACTGCTGAGAACCGGCTTTCTGATTTTGGTGAGAACCCTGAGAACCGCTAAAACGCTCGTTCCCTCCAATTTTCACATCCTAAATGGTTCAGAAGACGTCATTTAACAGTTTCAGAAAAATTTGTTACAATTGAGTAAAAAATCTACTTCTGTCCTAATGTGAAAAAAAAA